ATAAATAAAAAATTAGCCAGACATGGTAGCCCGCGCCTGTAGTTACGTCTACTTGAAAGGCTGAAGCGGGCCGGGCTCGGTGGCTCAGCCTGTAATCCCAGCACTTTGGGAGGCCGAGGTGAGTGGATTGCCTGAGCCCGCAGGTTCGAGACTCGCCTGGGCAACTTGGCGAGACCTCATCTCTACAATAAATCAAAAATTAACCGGGCGTGGTAGCGTGCGCCTGCAGTTCCAGCTACTTGGAAGGCTGAGGCAGACGGATTGCCAGAGCCCAGCAGGTCCAGTCTGGGTGACGGAGGGAGTCTCCAACTCAACAAAAAAAAAAAAAAAAAAGAAAGGCTGAAGCGGAAGGATTGGAGAACAGCACACAGCACATCGATGCTGGGGTAGCCATGAGTGTGCCACTGCACACCAGCGTGGGTGACAGAGACTCAAACAAAAAAAAAATTTAAAAATTGGCCAGGCATGTTGGTGCATGCCTATAGTCCCAGTTACTTGGGAGGCTAAGACAAGAAGATTGCCTGAGTCCAGGAGTTCAAGGCTGTGGTGAGCCATGATCGTGCCACTGCACTCGAGCCTGGGTGACAGAGTGAGACTTTGACTTGAAAAAAAAAATTTTTAAGAAAGAAAAACAATTGGGATATTTTTAGAGTCAATGTATCACTCTACAGATTGCTTATTATTTTCTTTCTTTCTTTTTTTCTTTTGAAAGAAAGAAAGGCTGGATTGCAGTGGCAAGCTCACAGCCACCCCAGTGTCGACTTGCTGGGCTCCGCGATCCTTCAGCCTCTGCCTTCCAAGTAGCCAGAACTACAGGAGCATGCTACCACATCCGGCTAATTTATGATTTATCGTAGATACGAGGTCTCGCCAAGTTACCCGGGTGGGTCTTGAACCCGCGGCTCAGGCAATTCACTCGCCTTGGCCTCCCAAAGTGCTGGGATTATAGGCTGAGCCACCGAGCCTAACCTGCATATTATTTTCAAAGGGAGAAATGTATCTTCATGATGGAAAGACCCAGAGATCATTTACTCAACCAAGTGACTAAATTTGACATCCCTCATGAAGGACCAGGTGCGTGTAATATAAAACACCCAGCATCACATATGAAATAGTCTGACCAAAAACATTTTGTCTTGAAATTTTTTTTTTTTTTTTTTTGAGTTGGAGTCTCACTCTGTCGCCCAGACTGGAGTGCAGTGGCCGCTCCCGGCCACCGCAGCCTCGACCTGCTGGGCTCCGGCGATCCTTCCGCCTCAGCCTTCTGAGTAGCCGGAATTACAGGCATGCGCTACCACACCCGGCTGATTCTTTGATTTATTGTAGAGATGAGGTCTCGCTGCCCAGGCGGGTCTCGAACCCGCGGGCTCAGGCAGTCCACTCACCTCAGCCTCCCAAAGGCGCAGGATTACAGGCTGAGCCACCGAGCCCGGCTTGTCTTGAATTTAATCAAGCCTTTAGACTGAGCATCCAGTATACAAGAAATATAGGTAATGAAGAAACAAGGTAGGTCACACCAAGAGGAAATAATCATATAAATCTAGAAACAGGAACACTAGTCTTGTCCCTTTAAAAAGTCTATGTTATGAAAAAAGAAAAAAAGTTGAAGCACTGTTCCAGATTAGAAAAGGCTAAAAAGGCTAACAGTCAACAGCAACATATGAATAAATTTTGATTGGCTCCTGCTTTTATTTGTTTTATTTTATTTCATTATTATTATTATTTTGAGTTGGAGTCTCACTGTGTCGTCAAGACTTGGCATGGCCACCCAGCCTCGACCTGCTGGATTCAGGCGATCCTTCCGCCTCAGTCTTCCAAGTAGCTGGGACTACAAGCATGCGCCACCATGCCCGGCTAATTTTTTGATTTATTGTAGAGATGAGGTCTCACCAAGTTGCCTGGACTCGTCTAGAACCCATGAGCTCAGGCAATCCTCTCACCTCGGCCTCCCATAATGCTGGGATCATAGGCGTGAGCCACTGTGCCTGGCAAGCTCCTGGTTTTAAAAATAGTAATGACAGACTGGGCTCAGTGGCTCAACCTGTAATACCAGCACTTTGGGAGGTGAGGTGAGTGGATTGCCTGAGCCTGCAGGTTCGAGATCAGCCTGACCAACTTGGCAGGCCCTCATCTCTACAATAAATACAAAATCAGCCAGGTGTGGTAGGGCACGCCTGTAGTTCCAACTACTTGGAAGGCTGTCGGAGCCCAGCAGGTCGTCACTGGGGTGGCCTATGAGTGTGCCACAGCTCTCCAGCTTGGGTGACAGAGTAAAGACTCAAACTCAAAAAAATAGTAATAATAATTATAGAAGACTTTGGACGGACAGTTGAGGAAATCTGAACACAGTCTGGTTATTTAATGACATAGTGAAATGATTATTAACTTTCTCAGGATGTTAATTATCCCACAGTTATATAAAAGAATGCCCATATTTTTTAAAAATGCAAGTCAAAGCTCAGAAGTGTCTGTGATTACTTTCAAAGGGTTTAGCTCACCAGCCCAAAAAATATATTTCTCTACATGCATACACACATATACACAGAGGTTGAAGAAGGAAACGAGGCAAAATAAACAATTACTGAGTCTGGATGGTGAGCATAATGGTATTCATTATACTATTGTTTCAGTTTTTGTGTATGTTTTAAAATGTTTCCTAATAAATGTTAGAAAATACGTAATAAGCAAGCTATTCTTCTCCACCCAGAATGGAAATTTCTTTCTCTTGTATTTAATAATAAAAATAAATTATTGGCCAACCCCTTCAGGTCCCCTCCCATTGTGGGAGATTTTCTGTCCTCTCACTAAATCCCGCTTTAAAAAAAAAAAGTTATAAAATTCTTGTCCTAATGCATTGGACTAGTTGCTGGAGACTACTGAGGACTCAAACACCGCTTTATAAAAGCTTTTAGGGGGCCAGGCTTGGTGGCTTATCCTGTAACCCCAGCAATTTGGGAGACTGAGGCGAGTGGACTGCCTGAACCCGCGAGTTCGAGACCAACCCAGGCAACTTGGCGAGACCTCATCTCTACAATAAAAATAACAAATTAGCCGGGTGTAATAGCACACGCCAGTAGTTCCAGTTCCAGCTACTTGGAAAGCTGAGACAAGTTAGGATTTCCTTAACATTTTAATTTTTTTTGTAAAGTAAAATCCTTTATCTTGTTTCAGTTGGACTCCAGTAGAGAAACAGAAAAACCAAGATCTCATCTGATACGACAGCTATTGACCCTTTTCATGGGTTTAAACCTACCCTTAAGAAGTTCAGCTTACCCAGGTTCAGTGGCTCAGCCTGTAATCCCACGCTTTGGGAGGCCAAGGTGAGTGAATTGCCTGAGCCCACGGATTCGAGACCCGCCTGGGCAACTTGGCGAGACCTCATCTCTACAATAAATCAAAAAATTAGCCGGGTGTGGTAGCGCGCGCCTGTAGTTCCAGCTACTTGGCTGGGAGCGGCCACTGCACTCCAGTCTGGGCGACCGAGTGAGACTCCAACTCAAAAAAAAAAGTTCAGCTTTGAAGAAACAGCTACCATAGGAAGGTGGTGACAACGACAGACTTCTAGGAAGTAAATTTTCCTACCTGCTGCAACCACTACCTGGCCTCACATGAGCATCCTGTACTTAACTCAACCACCTCTGTTTATGGGTGCCGATTGATGCAAGTCAATACACCCAAACCCAGAGTCTCTGCTCTTCAGAAAGCAGTAATGGATTCTTCGCCCAGGTTCACATAATTGAGGGACTTCAACCAGCAATAAAAATAACTTTGGATAAACCTTACAACCTACTGGGCATGGTGGCTCACGCCTATAATCCCAGCACTTTGGGAGGCTGAGGTGAGAGGATTGCCTGAGCTCACAATTTCGAGACCAGCCTGGGCAACATGGCGAGACCTCACCACTACAATAAACCAAAAAATTAGCCGGGCAGGTGGCACGTGCCTGTAGTTCCAGCTACTTGGGAGGCTGAGGTGGAAGGACTGCCTGAGCCCAAACAGGCCAGGGCTGTGGTGGCTATGAGCATGCCACTGCCCTCCAGCCTAGGTGGCAGAGTGAGATTCTGACTCAAAAACAAAACAAAACAAAACAAAAACCTTACAACCTGTGGTGTTGCTTCTACTTATATAAAGATAGACCAGTCATTTGATGTCAGCCAAGTTTTTGTTTTAAATAGTGATTCGGGTGACATGTAAGAAACACAGGTAACAAGGGCTATAAAGAATGGTTTATGTCATCTGGTTATTCCACTATCCCTGTTGCTGGGAACAGCAATGAGAAGTAGAAGCAGATGAAAGCAGCAAAAACAAATCAAAACTACACACATCAGCTACTTCTATACCTTCCTGAACAAGTTTACTAGAGGATAAACTTGACAAATTAGAGCTTTTCCAAAGGTAGGTAGCAAGAGAGTTAAAAGTTTGTGGCCAGGTATGGTGGTTCACGTTAGAGGTGAGCCGCACTTGTGGGAGGCCTAGGTGGAAGGATCACTTGAGGCCAACAAACATCTCATCTGGTATGACAGCTATTGATCCTCTTCATGGGTTCTAATCTATCCCTAAGAAGTTCAGCTTTGAAGAATCAGCTACCACAGGAAAGTGGTGACAACCACAGACTTCCAGGAAGTACATTTTCCTACCTGCTGCAACCACTACCTGGCCTCACATGAGCAGCCCTTATGGAACTCAAGCACCTCCGTCTATTGGTGCTGACTGAGTTTGAGACCAGCCTGGGCAACACGGCAAGACCCCGTGTCCAATAAAAATGAAAAATAAAAGTTTGTGTTTTCGGGAAAACACAGATGTGAAGCGTCAGTCTGAACAGCCGTCCCAAGAAGTCTCAACGAATGGATTCCCCCCAGAACCCAAAAGACCACAGCAAGGCCGACATAAAGCGAACCTTAAGGCTCAATATATACGAAAAGGTGAAAGAGGCGGCTTCCTTTTGGGGTTTGGAAGGAAAGTGAGTCCAACGTATTAGAGAAAGAACGGGCAAGTCTCACCTAGGTACAAGGAGGCGTTGTCTTTCTTGACGTTGTCATCCAAGTAGGTGGGTCCCAGGGTGTAAATAGGCGTGGAGCCCATTCCAATGAGGATCTGTGCGCAAACGAACAAAGCCACATAGACCCAGTGGCTGTTGCCTCCCGAGTCCTTGGGGCAGGCGGGGGGCTCCGAGGCGGCCGTGGAGTTGCCGTTCTGACACAGGCCGTCGTTGGGGGCCGAGGCGTTCAACTCCTGGACCTGGTAGGGAGGCGAGACGAAGTGGGGCAAGGCGAAGAGGGCCGCCCCGAAGGCGATGAGGAGTCCGCCCACGGCCAGCCACAGGGGCCGCCGACCCCGGCCGCCGAAGTAGCTGACGAACACCACCACCACCAGGTTCCCGATGTCGAAGCAGCTGACCAGCAGCCCCGACTCGGAACTCTTGAGGCTGTAGCGCCTCTCGATGGTGGTGATCACGCTGCTCAGGTACCCGGAGACCATCAGCGCCTGGATGAAGGTCAGAAAGCACATGCAGACCAGGAAGCAGCGGGAGTCGGTGAGGACCGCGTAGAGGCACCTTCTCTCCGGCGGCGTGGCCAGCGGGGGCGACGCCGAGACGGCCTTGCCGACGTCCGCCCCGTGGCCACAGCCCACGGGCCCCGCCATCGCCGCCGAAGTGGACGGGGCGGAGGGGCTGGGCGCCAACGGGTCCGGGCCCTGCTCCGCCTCCGGGACGTCTACACTCGCGGGACGGCGGCTGGGCCGGCAGGGGGCGCTGCTCAGGGCCGGCAAACTCTTGGACCTGAAGGGCTCCGGCTCACACCTC